TTGGAATTCGGCGACGATCTTACCGAAGCGATACGTAATGGAAAATTTGACGAGCTATTGGGGTATATTGGTTTGCACAATTACAAATACAAAAAAAAAAAGTTAAACACAATTGGGATTTGTTGCTGAGGATTTTAACGGCTCATTTTGATGGAGAAGACAACATAGTGCAACAAATTCACGAGGTGAAACTTCGCCTAGGACAAAACGCCGTTGATTTTGTTGAACCCCTGAAAACGAGTTTATTTTACCAGTGGTATAAAGTGTCACTGGTTTCAGTGTGGGACCGACTTCAATTTGGCCCCGAAGCATATGACGCATTGACGAGCGGAAAATTGGAGACTTTCCATGAATACACTGCTGATTTTTTTCCTGGTCACAAACACATGGCAATTGAGAGATTTATATTGACTTACGGAGAAGACGGTGTGACAGAAGCGCTAGCAAATGCGATGATTTTGCCCCACACGAAAGTATTTGCGTCAATGATGTACCATGAGCGACTCGATTATTGGAAAACGAATGCGTTTTCTATGATGAAAGTCTTTGAACTGTTGATGTTTAGCAATATTGACAGCGCCAACAGTGCTCTTTTCAAATTAGAGACTTTAAGCGACGTCATCTGGTCAAGCTTTGTCGACTCCCAATGGATGAGACTTCATCTGCAATATTTCGCACACCAGGCATCAGTAGCTTTAAAAGAAAATGACCGGCTAGCGTTTGAATTACCTGTCGCCGATCTACGAAAAGTGTTGCTTGAAGTATGGACTAACGGTCGGATTCCACCAGAAAACTTGCTCAGCAAACTAAGTGCTCCTATTGACACAAATGGAAACGTTAATGCAGGTGTCAACCCGGCAGAATTTGACCGCGATGTGTCGAGTTTTCCCTTCGATGACCCCAGACGCTCATAGATGGATCCTGCATAGTTCTGGGGCGATAGTATGTCATAAGAGGGTAACATCAAAATCATACTGCAACCTAACCGATGCTTTGTTGTTTCCTTGCGTGTTTTGCGAAGAGATTGCGAGTCAAATACTGTGCATGCATGTTTTTTCTATTCATGATTCGGTTTAATTGTGTGAAGATTGTAGTCTTAAGTACTGAGTAGATTCCAGCAAAAGCAAAGGCGATAAAATTTCATCAAGTTACAGAATGCAGAACACCCTATTCGAGTACAACACAGAGTCAAAGCATGACAATTCTGGGCACAACTTTGCCCAAGCAACAGTCGAGAAAGCTTCACGAACCAAGTTATAGCTTCCTTATCTTTCGCATTCGAATTGATATTTTGGTATACATCATGCCACTGAGTCTTTCTTCACAAGCACATAGCCCACACGTCGGCACTCAAAACACGCATTCCGGTGCGAAATGGACTATAACGTGCGGATTGATTTGTCTTGCTCTGGAGACAACGTATGTCCATTGCACTTGTTGAACGTTATTATATTTTCATAAATTAGCAAATACAGTAAGAGAATGAAACGGATGTTTAGCTGACTTTGACACGATCGTTTCGTGTCGTTTCAATCGCGACATCTGAAGTCAACAGAAAAGCCACGACAAGGAGCCTTGGCAATGAAGTATGCTCTGGTAAAGTTTCGTCTTCAACTTTGGGGATCAACACTGTTTCTCGTCGAAACGGATCACGCAAACTTGCTATATGCAGTTCAGTCTCCTTGTCACAGCGGATGACTCGCTGGTTGTCATCTTCGCAGAATACAACTTTAATCGTGCGTACAAGGTGGAAAACTGAATGCGCTGGCCGACGTATTGTCACGTCGTCCTGGATATGAGCTAGCTATATCAAAACGATGCATTCGATATGAAACGTCGAGCTTATGATGAGGATAAAAAGTGTGATCTAATCATCAGGGTACCCACTGAGTGATATGTCACTTCATGACAAGCTTCTTTGAACCTGGAAATTTGTATGCATTGTTATGCGTAATGGATGGCCTTCTTCACTACAAAGTCGAACATGGCGACGAGTCACGGATTGTAGCTTCCCACAACGATGATTTGAGGAACAAAATCGTGTATGACGCGCATGATACGTCGATGGCCGGTCTCAATGGCCGTGAGCAGACTCACTAGTCTCTTAGTGCCCAATTTTATTGA